GAGTCCTGTTTTCAGCCATAGGAGGGCAGTGGGGTCTAGTGATTAGAGCAGGGGAAAGGGAGCCAAGACCCCTGTGTTGTAATCCCGCTCTGGGAGGGGGGTGGGGTCTAATGGGTAGAGATGGAGGCGTGCTGCGGGCACGACTCCGGGGTTCTGTTTCAAGCTTTCTCATTGGCAAACCACTTCCCCGTCCTGCGTCTCGCTTTCCTACCTCGCTTTGTGAGTGGACGATTGTTTGTCGAGAGAACCATCGAGGGAAGGTACCGCATCCTGTTTGCGCAAAGTATTTTTACATCCCAGGCCCCGCGGTGGCTTCTAACTGCTCCGTTCGCCACATTGTTTGCCTTGCATTGAGTTTCGCTTTCCCAGGAGATTGTGTAGATGGGAGACTACAGGGCAAGGGTGTAATTCCAGAGTCACTCCCATTCAAGCCTGATTCTCAGTCGCTCTGTTCCGAGGCTGGAAGCAGGGGATGAAGGTGGAGTGGGCGGCTTAAACTGGATTTAAGTTTCCTTTGCATTCCCTGTATTCTGGCCCCTGATGTAAATTAGAGTAGCCCAAGGGCTATTTGGTTTTTCATTGCAAGCTGGCATCTGGACTCCTGGGTCCTCTTCCTGACTGAGCTCAGGTCCCCTCTCCGTGCCTCTGTTTCCCTATGTCATGTAGGGTCATGTCCGCCAGTTCCCTGGTGCATTGCAGAGATCATCGAATGAGAAAGGGGCTGTCGAAGGATGCAGTGTTTTCATGCTGGATGGAAACATCCTTGCAGGCTCCCTGGAGAAGAGAAGGGTTTGTTTGCCGTGGGAGATGGGGCAGCAATCCGTGAGAGCCAGGTGAAGGACCGGCCAGTGCTGACTGGTACAGACACCCGATGCTGACGCAGCGGCTAATCCGGAGAAGCCGCTGAAAGGATGACAGACAATAGGTTTAGGCAGGCGATTTAGGGGGGGGAACCATAAGGTGATTAGTGCAGTTCAGAGGGGATTTGAAGGGAAAACAGCCATGTGGTGGATCAGATTATGAGCTCAGAGTCGGGGCGCTCCTGCCTGCGCGGTAGCTTTTTCTCTTTTCTGGCTGCCGAGGGAGTTTATGGCACGTTCTGGAAAGGCAGGGCTCTGGCCACGCTTGCCAGCATGATTCTGTTTTGCAGCCCGGTTATTATCTCTAGGCTAAGGCTTTTCAGGTCAGATGGAGGGGGAGGAGGCCTGGCCCTATGAAATACGGGATTGACTCGCTAGGGAGAGGCAGTGTGGTCTGATGAATAGGGCACTGGGCTAAGCTGGCAGAGACCTGGGGCCTGTTCTTGGCTCTGCCGGTGCTGGGGAGGAGCAAAGGGCCGGCTCTCCAATGAGGTAGCATGGTCTAGTGGGTAGAGCCTAGGACTGTGAGTCAAGATGTTTGGGTTCTACTCTTGGTCTGGTGCATCACTTCCCCTCTCTGTTTCCTCTTCCCTCTGTTTGAATTCCAAGCTCTTCAGGGTGCGGGGCTGCCAGTTTTGGTTGGCCGTATTCCTGGAGGTTTCATCACAAGACATAATCTATCATTAAAGAGTCATCTTTAATTCCTGGAGGGTTGGCAACCCTACCAGGGCAGGGGCTGCTTTTTAGGGGGGTGTTCACACTGCAGCCAGGGGGTGTGACTGGCAGCTGGGGCAGACATACCCGCTCTCACCGCGCCCGAGCTAGGGCGTCGCAACTGGGCTTCAGCGCCGGCTGCACCAGCCCGCCTGACCCCCTAGGTTCATACTCACTTTTATTTTTAGTGAGTTAGCCAGACGGCAGCTAGCCCGGGTGCGTCTACACGAGCTCCCCCTCCCCCGTGGCAATGTAGATGTACCCGCTCTGCGGGTGTGTCTACACTGCAATCCGAGGGGTGACTGCAACCCGTACCCGAATTAGCTTCGAGCTACGTAGTTCAAATAACAGTAGCGAAGCCGCGGCAGCGTGGGCTAGGCACTCGAGTCTCTACCCGCGGTCCCAGGCGGGGTTGGGGTGTCATTGAGACAGTCCCCACTGCAAAGAGCTGGGATGCTAAGGTTATGTCTGCACTGCAGAGCGTACCCGGGTCCTGGCTTGCCAAGCTGGTCTCCAAGAATCCACACGGCAGAACTGCCCACGCCCCAGCCCCATGTCTAGCTGGCGCTGCAGTGACATGTGTTTGGCGCTAGAATTGCTGGGGGTGGGGCGTATCCCAAGGTTCCTAGCACCTCGCTAATTGCAGCCACACTAGGAATTGGTGTGCAGCCGTGTTGTGGCCGAACTTGTCGGTCCTTCCCCAGCCCCTCTGCGGAAGCATGTGCCAGCATGTTTACTGGCAGTATTTCCAGCTGCTGCTGAATTCGGTTAACAGAACTTTCTTTTTATGGGATGTCCTTGGCAGATCGCAGCAGGTTTAAAGTTTCAGTAGTTCACCATGGAAGTAAATAAACCTTGTAAGATGAGAAAAGTGGTGTTCATTACGCTTAAGGAATTCGGAAGGGAGTTAAAGCTCTTGATGGCTGTCCTCACGGACCCCTTGAGTTTGGGGATGGCTCTTTGCCAAGGCAATTGAAACCACGCAGGAGGCAAAGAGTGGATGAAGAACTGGGCTCCGGAGAGCTGGGTTTCAATTCCCAGCTCTTCCATAGGTTCCTTGAGCAAGTTACCGAATCTGTTTGTGCCTCAGTTTCCCATTCCGTGTCTCCATTCTGTGTCTGCCTGTACGCTCCTCAGGGAGTCTGTCCAAGCCACGAGTCGAGCCCTGGCTCAGGGCTTTAGCCAGAAGGCCCCTGGAAGAGTTAGCAGCAGCAGCTCGGCTAAGTGCCCGATCGGTGGTCTTTGCGGGAGGGGGCTGGGATTGTCAGACGACGGGCCTGAGAGCCGGACAGCTCTGTCGGTTATAGCGTTGGCAGGACCTGAAGCTGAATTTCATCCTAGTTCGGTGGCGATGGAAAGTACCTTGCTGGCTCGCGGCCGTTTGCTGGTTGAGTGAATTACTGGGGACAGAGAGTGCCCAGGGTGGCATCGGAAAACACCGGTTTGTTGACCGCCAAATGATTCTCAGAAACATATCAGGGTCAACACCTTTCGACGGGAACATATTGGGCTCTGACAGATCTGTCTGGTCTCCTACCAGGCTACTGGGATTCCCAGGCTGCTGGGATCTAATGCTCCAGGGCCGCCCTGCCATGCGGACTGCCCCAGGGGCAGACAGGGCCGTCCCGGGGAGGCAAGTGGGGCAATTTGCCCCAGGCCCCCCGGGGGCCCCCACGAGAATATACCATTCTATAGTATTGCAACTTTTTTTATGGAAGGGGCCCCCGAAATTGCTTTGCCCCAGGCCTCCTGAATCCTCTGGGTGGCCCTGGGGGCAGAAAGCCTCTAAATACTCCCCCTGTGCACCTGCCACTGTTGCAGTCCAGGGCCCCCAGTCATTTCTCCCCCGCTAACGTTGTTAGAAGAGCGCACAGGTGTGAATGACACCGGGGCAGGGCTGCGGAGAATCAGGCCCTGTGGAGTTGGTGGTTTGCCTGGGGTGATTGTCGTTGCAGATCTCTACTGTAGGTGGTGCCAAGACACCAAACAATTAGCCGGTGTCCGTACCACAGCTGGGAAGTAGGAAGGTGCCTGCGGGAGGGGGAGCGGTGGCATTGCTGAAGCTGCGGCACGAATTTCTCGAGGGGCGTTTTCGACCTTTCTTTTTATGCCGTATTGTAAAAGCGGCCAACCGCTCAAAGCTCCCCCGGAAAGGAACATTGCTGCTGGATTTGAATTTCCCCTGCTGGTGGGGTGCAGACGGGATTCAGACGCACAGAATAGAAGCCCTTGTTCCAAAAGCCCCCCGGCGTAACATTTTCAGCAGAGCGTCCTTTTGAACCCCTTTTGCAAAAAAACAACCAACCCACCCGTTACACCACGACAGCCACTTAGAACAAGAGCAACTTGCCCCTCTTCTCTGAACACCCTCCAGTTTGTCCATATCCCCGAGGCAAGGGTTAACGGAGATAGCTGCCAATCAGCCTCCTCCAGCCCTGGCTTGGAGCAGCTACGGGGGGGAGGAAGGCGGCTGGGGGGCTGTAGGTGGCAGGTCAGTAGCCTGGCTGGCACCTCGCACTCCGGGCTGGAGCTGCACAGATAGTCTCTGTCTGCATTGAGGTCTGTTTTCCAGCAACTCTCAGATTTAGTACCCCCCCCCCCCCGGGAGCTGGCTCTGTGCTGGCTGTGGTCTGGGGGCCAGGAGAGCTGGGAACGCTGCACAGCAGAGCAGGCCTGAATTCCGGTCTGGGTGCCCAGCTCTGCGCAGACCCCTGCCCGTGCCATGGCAGTAGGGCAGAGAAGGGACCCAGGGCAGGGAGAGACCTCAGTAAAAAATACATGTTCGGGGCCCAGCCACTCTGGGCCCTGGGAGCTGTGACTCCAAAGAGCCCGGAGGGGGCTGGGACGCCCACGCCCAACTCTTCCGGCTGGGCCAGATACACTGCAAAGTCCCCTGCCCGCAGGCCTCAGCGACCCCCTTCCTGCCCAGGGCCAGCTGTCACTGGGGGGCAGCCTGGCTTCCTGGCTGGGCAGGTGACGGGCGAGTGCTCATCTCCCAGTCTGTGCAGGGCGAGCAGTGATTCCTTTCCCCTCTGGGCGCCCCCCTGTCTGAGCCATGCCTGGGCAGCCGTGTCCGGCCTCGCCGGGGTCGCCCCACAAGGGCTGTGAGAGAAGCACACGGCAGCCGCTCTCAAGTTCCCCCTTCCTTCCCATCACTGTTCCGCCTGCAGCAGGATGAGAGAAGCCACCCGATGCACCAGCCCTTCCTGCCTCGGCCACGACGCCCACCGGGCACTGCTTCCCACAGGCCCTCCCTGGCAGCGCTGATCCCCACGGGGCCACACCTCATTGCCTGGGCATGGCCTCTCCCAAGCTCCAGCCTAAACGTTCCCTTCCCTCTTGCCACCCCCCCCAGAAAACCCCACAAGGAGGGTGATGCCACGAGCAGGCATAAGCCAGAGAGGCAGAGATCATGATACTGCGGAGTCAAATGGCAGAGACTTTATTTATGAGATGGGGAGTTAACCTGTGGAACTCACTGCTACCAGATATCCTCAGTATTAAAATACAACCAATCCCAGATATTTATGTGAATAACGAGATCCACCATAGGCTCAGAGAGTTGACAGCCCCGTTGCCGGACCCAGTGTTTCTGCTTTGCTCCCCACGCAGTGACATTAACCCTTCGGACGCTGCAAGTGAGTGTCCCCTGTCCTCCCACCCTTGCATCCCTTGGCCTGGTAGGCTGGGGAATGCCGGTGCCTGGTGGGATTGGCAGTCGCCGTGGGAGCTCCTCTGGTCTTGGTCCCATCTCCGCTCCCTGCCGGGGAGGCCGTGCTACGCGATGAGGCCGGCGCTCAGGGCTCCCAGCGCCAGCAGCAGGATGGTGAGGTGGTAGGACAGCAACGAGGCCAGGGACCGCTCTGGTGGGGAATCTAAACAAGAGCAATGGGGTCAGTTCCTGTCGGCGGCGACCGGCAATGCCGGGGGGTAGCTGCACCACTAGAGCATGGCTGGGGCAGGGGCTGGGATACCCGGGAACTTTCTCCCCCATTCCATATGGGGCAAGAGGAGCTGGGGCAAGAGGGCTGGGTCTGGGCAGGGCCGTGCCGGCCTCGCTGCCGGTGTCTCCTCTGGGGAATCGCAGTCTGTTCTGCCCAGGAGCTCGGTGCCTGACGACTCTGATCCGGAGCAGAATGAGGAGAGTGGGAAGTGATGGGGTCCCTCGGTCCCCCCAGTCTGCGTCCCTTGCTCTGCCGGCTGCCTGCAAGCAGCTGACCTCCTCCCCGGGCCCTGCCCCGCTGATGTTCCAGACCCTTCCCTTGAGCTCTCCCCCGGGTAGGGACCTTCTCAGAGCAAAGCCCAGCTCTCCCCGTGCCCGCGCTGGGCAGCGCTTACCAGGGGGGTTACCTGGACACAGGTCCTTCGGGGACAGCATCCTGGAGCTGTTACTGGCGGGGTGCCGGGCTGTGCAGATGACGGCCGGGAGAGCCTGGAAAGGTCTCCGAGAGATGCGCAGAGTGGCTCTGGTGGATACAACCACGCCGCTGTCCTTTTGAGTCCAGCTGTAGGCCACCTGTCCCCCTCTCTCCCCAGCCACGCAGCGCATGGTGTAGTGACAGGTTCCATTGTCACAGGTCACCGAGTCACAGACAATCGTTGTCGCCGGCACTTGCTCTGCGGGGGGGAGAGAAACGGGATAAAATCCCTGGCACAACTTCCTAGCAGCTGCCTGGAACTGCTGGAGGAAGCCGAGGGCAGAAGCCCCTGCCCCAGCCCAGCATGGTTGGAGCAGGGGTGGGTGGAGCATCTGACCATACATGGCTGGTCAAACATTGGTCAAATCCTGTCAAAAACACTAAAGCACCGACGTATTAGAACAGGAACACCGGTAACAAAATACGGCCGTGGGCTCCAGTCCGCTTAGCCGTAGCGACTTCTGTTTAATCGCCCCCCCAAAAAAGTTACTGACCAAGGATGGTGGGTGAACTCCCACTTCAGGGAGGCTAGCATGACAGCCCCACCTCTTCCAACTGAGCACCCCCGCTCCCCGCAGCCAGAGCCCCAAGCATGCCCCCCAACAGTGGCCGGAGCCTCCCCACCCCCCCCCCGTGGCTGGAGGAGCCACAGGCCACCCCAACCCCTGGACGCTGGCTGGAGCTCAGCCCCCGCCGGCTTGGGGTGGAGCACGGGTGGGGCCAGGGCCTCGGTTAGGGGAGGCTTAGCCTGCCCGGGTCTTCTGTACCAGGGGAGGCGGGTACTGAACTTTAGTTCCGTTGTTTGAACTCAGAAAAGGGCAAATCCCAATGAACCGAAGTTGTAAGAACAGGAAAGACGAATGATTCCTGGTCCCTTTTCTAGCAATGTTCTGTTACCTCCTCACTGTGAATGTGAGTCGAGACTGAACAGTTACAAAAGCGAAGACCAATGAAATGAAGCAGAAATAAAAGAAGATGAAAGAACAAAATCATTTTTGACGGCACGTAAGCTAGGCGGGCAGCTGGCCGGCTCTTCGAGCAGCTCGCTTTGCAGTCTCTTATTTGTCTTTATCTGTTTCGTGTAGATCTTAGCCGTCATCCCCGTCAGCGAGTTCATCAGTGTGTCCTCCTTCCTCTTCCTTGGATGAACATTGGGTCAGTTCTTCACCTGCCATTTTCTTTTCTCATCTTACACAGCAGGGGAGACTTTCCGTCACTCTCTGGATTTTCAGTGCAGGATCCCCAAACCGGCCAACGGAGCCATTTAAAGTGTTACAGGCATTTCTGCCGCTGTAGCTAGATTGCAAGGTGGACGCTGCTTTGATTTAAGTGCGGGGATTGCACTCCGCACTGTTTTACGGCTGGCCGGGCTGCCGCTTGTGCCAGAACTTGCAACCGCCATCCGAACGGTTTGTTCGCTGGTTTAGCCTTTAAAATTCGCAGGAGACGCTCTGAGGTCACAAGCAGAAATGGCATCACCGTTGCAGACGTCTTGGAAGCATGGATCTAGAAGGTAGACAACAGGGTGTGTGTCTCACGGGGTTCACGCCACTCGCGGCTGGGGCGCCTCCTTGTGGCTCACCGGGGGATTCGCTCACGGCTGGGGCGCCTCCTTGTGGCTCACCGGGGGATTCGCTCACGGCTGGGGCGCCTCCTTGTGGCTCACCGGGGGATTCGCTCACGGCTGGGGCGCCTCCTTGTGGCTCACCGGGGGATTCGCTCACGGCTGGGGCGCCTCCTTGTGGCTCACCGGGGGATTCGCTCACGGCTGGGGCGCCTCCTTGTGGCTCACCGAGGGGATTCGCTCACGGCTGGGGCGCCTCCTTGTGGCTCACCGGGGGATTCGCTCACCGCTGGTTTGCCGCCGCCGCTTGCGGTTTCTTGGCTCCCTTGCCCCAGTCGCACACTTGGTGGCTTCTCTCCTGCTCCGCGAGCTCCAGCGCTTCCTCTTTGTGGCTTGGCTCTCAGGCCAGGCCGCTGCAGTTTCCTCCCTTCACGGGGATCAGATTCTCGCTAAATAAACTGCCTCAGAAAGTCTTCAAAATCCACTGCCCCTGTTCCCCTCCCCGCAGGCCAGGCCCTCCCGCTCCTCCGGCTCCCTACAATCACCAGCTCGGGTCCAGGTGGCCTGTTGCTTGCTGCTGCTGTCCCTAGCCTACTTCCTGCTCCCTTCTCTCAAGCCGGAGAGTGACTGTGACTCTCCCCCTGGCCCCGCCCGGCCCTCTCTGCTGCTTTCCTCTCCCTGGTTTTATACCGGCTCAATTCGGGCTGTCTATCCAGCCCACACCTTACCCAAGTGCAGCCCATCCTGTCAGGTAGCCCCTCCTGAGCCCTTTTACTCCTTGAGCGGCGGTGTAGGGTGAACACCCCGTCAGTGCGGGAGTGATCCCTTAGTTTTTCCGTGATATCCTCCCTTTTCCTTCCTCGCGCCCGCTCTTGTAAGTGGACTGTGTTCCCTGCTCTCACGAGGACGTGTTTGATCATTCAGGAACCCGTTCTGGGCATCCGACGATGCAGAAGTGTCGTTTCCCACGTTCTGAATGGACTAAACGCCGGGTTCAAGCAGTGAACTGATTCACGTTCGATGGCACAGTGGGTTATCCGTACTTGGCCATCCCTTGTCCGCCAGCCGCGGCTGCACATTGGAAGATCTTTGAGACGGTTGGTAGAAGATGCCCAGCGAGTACCATGAGACGTTCTCGGCGTGGCTCTGCTAACGATGCTGAAAAAAGGCTGCTGTGTCTTGTTTGGTTTTGAACACCAGGACAACGCTCTTCCGTCTTGTTTGGTTTTGAACACCAGGACAACGCTCTTCCCTTTTGGCTCGTGTGGAGAGAAAACTGCCAGATCTTCAGCTTCCCCGGTGAGAAGCTGCCTCGTCCGGGCAGCACGGCCAGACCACCGAGGGCGTGAATGCTCGTTTGTCGTCAAAGCCCAGGCAGCCTCCATGTGAGGTCCCAACACCAGACCATTCCCGGGACCCGGTTCTTTGACAATATTTTTTAACAGTCCGCAATCTCCTGGCCTGGTGAGCAAAGGACCAGAGGGCGTGGCAATGCTCAGCTGCACGCGGGAATGAGTAAAGCTCCGGCTATGGCATCATTACCGTGATGTCATGCGACTATTGGTCCATCCGTCTGACACTAGAGACACATGAGGGGCTTGCGCAAGACGAACCCCGAGGGCTGGGGTCACAAAGGAACGGAGGGACGCTGGGAGCTGCCGCGCCCGACTCTGAGGGGCCTGGGACGCCACTGAGAGTCACAAGCCTGAGTCTGGCGCCCGGGTGTCCCGTGCGATGAATGGGGACAGACAGGTACAAAGAGATTCGCACTGGGCAGGGAGCCCCTAGGCTAGTCAATGGGAGATGCTGGGGGGATGGGGCATCCTCCCCCTTTGCCACCTGTCTTTGCTGGGGACTCTCAGCTGGGAACACTCTCTTAGGCGTGGGCTGCCGAGTCCTCCCCTTGTACCGTGTAGCCCCGTGGTGAGGGTCCTCCCCTGGGTGGGAGAAGGGGTTTGAACAGGGAGCTGCCACCTCGCTGGTGAGTGATATAACTACTGGGCTCTGGGATAGCCTGGCGGGGGGCTCTTTGGATCTCTGATTAATGAGTGGCTGGAGCAGGGGATCGGATCCTGGGGCTCCCTGCTCCGGGGGGAGCTCTCTACCCACCGGCTATGGAGCTGTTCTCGTGCCGGTTCTCTTTGCGGCCCCATGACTCTGCACTGGCCCAGCCGCAGGGACGCTCCAGACCCTTCCCTTGATATCTTCCCGGGGGGCAGCAGCTTTCTCAGAGTGGGAGGTGGGGCAGGGGATTCCTGGGGTGACGGGGCCCCTTTAAGTGCAAAAGTGTTGGAGACCAGAGTGGTTTCATTGAAATAGTCGTGGGGTGAGTGCCGAGGCGGGGACCCGATGCCAGCTCTCTCCAGCGTTTCCCTGCGGAGGGCATTACCTGCGCAGAAGTCCTTCGGGGAGACCGTCCTCCTGGAGCTGTTCCCGTCGGGGACACGTGCCGTGCAGGTGATGTTCTCACGAGCTGCCTGGTGCCGCTGAGGGATGTGCACGATGGAGTCCGTGGACAGAACGCTGCTGGGGGCTTTACTCCAGCTGTAGGTCACGTTCTCCCTTCCATCCCTGACGGCACAGCGCAGGGTGTAGATACAGGCGTCGTCCTCACAGGCCACTGAGTCACAGGCAATGGTGGGTGGCAGTTGTCCCTCTGTGTGGGGGGAGAGAAACACAGAACAGGCTGAAATCCCTGCAGCAACTTACTAGCTGTTGCCTGGATTTGCTGGGGGAGCAGTGCGCAGGGAGCCCTCTGCATCTTCGCAGCACGCTTGGAGCAGGGGCAGGGGGACATGAAGGTAATGGCACAGCTGGGAGGGAGAGGACGAAGGAGGGATCATTTGGGGAGGTGCAGGGGGGATCAGTTGGGGGTTTGAGCTGGTTGAAATTTTCCAATGAACACCTTTTCCATCTGAAAATTTGGTTTAGTCAAAACTGCCATTTTCGGGGGGG